GTGAGACCGTGATTCCTCAACCATAACAATGGCTCCATTGTTATCGCAGTAGAACTTTACTGGATCAACAATGCTTGGAACCACATCAAGTTCAGTAATGAACTTCTTGATCCAAACCACCTATACGGCTGCATTAAACAATACGTTATACTTAGCATCAATTGTAGAATCCGTTACAAGTACTTAACTTCGAGCTCTTATAGCTCACTGCAACTCTATTGAGACAAAATATAAACTAGGATTGTAAGCGAAAATCATCTTTATCTGTTTGGAGATTAGCATCATTGTATCTTCTTACAGTGAGCTCATCTTCCCCTCCATAATCCAAGATCATATCCTTAGCCCCTTTTTAGGTATTTAAGGATATCCATTGACACTTATCCAGTGTCACTCACTTGGATCTGATTGATATGTTCTACAAGTGCTGAATGCACATAAGACATCAATCTGAGTATATAACACATTGCTCACTAAGATCCTATTGATATCTTCTGCAAGTGCTTAATGCACATAAGATATCTGTTCGAGCATGCAATCATAGCGTCGCTCTCTTGGATCTGATTGATATCCCCTAAAAGTGCTTGATGCACATGAGACATACATCTAAGCATACAAGATAGATCCACTTGCTGAAGCATGTGGGATCCTCTTCATTCTATCTCCCTCAATGTGTGGTTTAGGACACATATCCTCAGAGAGATAGACACTATATGCCACTGGAAGAGATCCCTTCTTGGATTCTTCCACACTGAATCTCTTCAGTACCTTGTCTATGTACTCCGACTTAGGCTAAGCTGTTAGGAAATGATCATACCTAGTAGCGGAAAACAAAATTAATTTACATCATAGATCATTCCTTAGAACCAAGATCAAGGCACAAATTTATAGTTTATACATAATTTTAGAATCTGCAGAATTTCAGTTTAGAGTTTAAGAAATCATACGCACGTTTGGAGGCTCCTCTAACTTGTCTCTGAATTTATTTCGCTACCGACCCAAGAGTAGGATCGAACCAATGTAGTCCACATGAAGATAACCCCAAGGAACTAAAGAGGGATTTGCTAGATCCTCTTTAGTCTTCAAGAACTAAGAAGATATCAAGCAAACTTGATTTCAAGCAAAAATGCAAACTAGCATGGGAGAGAAAAAGAGGGGCTAGAATGTTTTACTAAATGATTGAAAAATATGTTGTTTCTTTTCCACAAAAATATGCACTTACATAGTGCACATAATGCCCTATTCCCTCATGGAATAGGCTTGGGCATCAACCCAAACAGCCCCCTATGTCCAAACAGCCCCATTTAGATATTTTAATAATTATTATTGTTATTTCAATTAAATTCAATTAATATATATATATTTCATATATTAACATTTAATAGTAACAATAATTCATTTAAATATATGCGAACACATATTTAAATATAATTTCACTCATTTAATTTTATTAACAAACTAAATAAAGGCTACGACCTCAGAAAATTTAATTGCATTGTGAAATTACCAAAATACCCTTTCACCTAAAAAGACAAAAATGCCCTTCTTGTAAACTAGCTCTTAAATTATCTTCTATGTGTGTGACCCATAGGCTCCACATCATACCAGTAGTGTGTAGCATCGCGATTAACACCAATTGATTGTCTCACTACACACAGACTAAGATTGGCCCATAGCAAGGCATCATGGCCACCTGATAAATTCGGATTCAACGAAGCAACTACCTGTCAATCATATGGTTACCATGCAATCTGATCCTTTTATCATCTGTTATCTAGATGAGACTGAGGCATAGAAATAGTGTCAACCTTGGTTACTCTCGATATGTATGTATTCAGTTATTGGACCAATGACCTGAATAATAATCTGGATAAAGCAACAACTCAATCCCACTGTGGCCACAGTTTTATTGTCATTGCCATTTACTGAATTACGCCGTGAGATAACTTCTCCCATACCCAGGAGTGATGAATCCTTTGTCTATCCACCATAGTCTTGATACACTCCTTAATGTAGCCAATCACTACCGTATTGATAGCTCTGAATAAAACTGCATTAGGCTAGTGTCAAACTACACCAATCGGTGCACAAGGCACTCCGGTGATCTCAAGTCTAAGGATCACATGCACCACCATTCATTAGAGGATTTGTTCCATAGACACTGGGGTTACCATCCATATGGAATCCTCTGGTGGGCCAGTCTAGTGAACTTGCTTATAGCAAGCACCCATGTGTTGCACTAGGTTGTCACCAAACAACCTTGACAAGTGAGATCAGTCACTACCTTTCGACAGAGTCGTTCAACACTATGATAGCCTTTTCGTATTATTTGTGCCCTTACTTCAGGATAATACTAGGGCTACGGATGTTTCTAGAATGGCCACCATATGTGCTCATAGGGTTCTCACTATCAAGATTTGAAATACACTATACCCTCATCACGGTTCTACCATTCCAAGGACATATATCATTACATACAATGATGATTTACGCGATATAGAATAAAATGCCTTTTTTATTAATCAATGAACATTATTACAAAGATTCAGTTCTACAATACTTGATTGGCTCTAGGGCATCTACTCTAACATAAGCAAACTTCCTGATCTATTACGATAGATCTTCATTCCGAGAATGTAAGCTGTTTCTCCTAAGTCCTTTATGGAGAATCACTTGGATAACCAAGTGTTTATCGACTGCAAGTTTGGCATATCATTCCTTATCAGAAGTATGTCATCTACATACAACACTAGGAATACCACTACGCTCCCACTCACCCTTTTGTGAACACAAGTCTCATCTTCATTCCTGATGAAACCAAAGTATTTTATGGCTTCATCACAACGAATGTTCCAACTCCTTGAAGCTTGCTTGAGTCCATAAATGGACCTCTACAACTTGCATATCCTTTTAGTTTGTCCATAAAAAATGAAACCATTGGGATGTGCCATATACACATCTTCTTTAAAGTTTCCATTCAGAAAAGCATCATTGACATCCATTTGACAAATCTCATAATCATGATATGTAGCAGTCACAAGCATAATCCAGATGGATTTAATCATGGCAACCGGCAAAAGGTTTCTTCATAGTCAATACCATGAATTTATTTGAAACCTTTGGCAACCAGTCATGCCTTATAAGTATGCACCTTGCCATCTATGTCAGTCTTCATCTTGAAGACTCATTTACACCCTATGGGTTTACCCCTTCAGGTGAATTCAACAGAAACCATGACTGGTTCCGGTACATGGAGTCAATCTCAGATTTTATGGCTTTAAGCCATTTAATGGAATATGGATCCAATATAGATTCATCATAGGTTCTGGGTTCATTGACTCTGTAGACTAGTATGTCACCATGTTGAGTCATGAGAGAACCATATCTCTCGTACTCACAATGTACTTTCCCAAATCTATGTAGCTCTTGTGCTACCTGAGGTGGTTCACTTTGATCCACAAGTTGTGGAGTAACCTCTTGCTAATGTTCAACCACTTCCTGTGGCACATCATCCCGTCCTTTGTCTAATGTATCTTATGGTACTAGAACTTCATCGAGTTCTACTTTTCTCCCGCTAGTACTTATTAGAAAAAATTCATTTTCTAGGAAGACAGTAGTATGAGCAACAAAAGGTTTTGTGCTCTTCTGGATGGTAGAAATAGTATCCTTTGGTCTCCTTAGGATACCCCAAAAATACACTTTCCCAGGATTTCAAGCCCAGCTTGTTCGAAGTCAATTTTTTGACATAAGCTTCGTAACCCCAAATCCTTAGATAAGACAAGCAGGACTTTCACCCACTTTATTATTCATATAGAGTCTTATCTACAGACCTTGGCGTTACAAGGTCTAGTGCATGATCATAGTCTCTAGAGCACCCCACAATTATGTGGGTAGATCACAAAAACCTTATCATGGACCTAACTCCCACATTCCTTCAGGTATGTTTAACTCAACTTGTCACATTCGGCGTAGATGTGACTTTGAGAATATTCTTATTGTCCATTTTTGAAAACATATTATTATGAAACAATTCCATAGAATATTATTTATACTAAAAGACAACAATCCATTAGTAAATCAATATTCTTACTTGTCCAAAGTGGACACAGGAAAATTATTTCTAGAAATTGAACGAATATCATAACAATCCACAAGTTCCAAGAAACAAGCCTATAGGCAAAATCAGACAATAAGATCTTGCAGCATCATGTGCTTCATCTCCAATTAGTAGGTCTACCTCTCCCTCGATGAGCAATCTACTCTGCCGTAGTCCCTGCACATTAGAACAAATGTGAGTACCACATCCTGTGTCAATGACCTAAGATGTTGACGGGAGAAGTTAATCTCAATCAAGAACATACCTGACGAAGAAGTAACATTCTTCTTCTTTTTTGCTAGAAAGGCCTTGCAATGTTTCCTCCAATGGCTGGGATTCCCACAGTGAGGACAAACGCCCTTTCTATCTATAGTAGTTCCTTCTAACAACTTCTGAGCCCTTACCTTCTCACTTGAGTTGGCTTTAACCAATGTCAATGTTTCTGACATTCTCATGCCTAACTCAGTAGCATTCAACATATCCAGAAGCTCAGAAAGGGTATTCTTCTTATCATCCTCAATGAAGTCATAGACAAATTGAGAGTAAGAATGTAACACCCCCCCTCCAGCCGGGTACCCTCTAAGTATTCCATTAGGATGGAAAAATTAGAGAATTCACGCCTGGAAGGTTGTGTATTGTAAAACGTAAATCCTGGTTATTAACATGTACTATATGAAAATAAATAAATAAAAACTTCTCCTCTCATTTATATCACTTTCTTAATTAACCTATCAAGACATGACTATATATGAAAAATATGGTTTAAAGAAAATAACAACATCAATTGTTTTAATAGCGGAAGCAAATATAAAATATCTCCCATTATTTATAAGCAAAACATATTTACTATTTCATGAAACTTAGATTATAAACATTAAACTATATACATTAAATTCAAAAGCAACATCCTTTATATAACATCATAAGTTTAGCTAGAACAAAAACATGCATGCCCCAAGCCTCCTTGACCGCCACTCGCCGTTACCGCTTTAACCATTACCTGCAAAACATGGAAACTAGGGGGATGAGTGCTAATCACTCAGTAAGGGTATCGATCATTTAACCCTATGTAACATTCTTAAACTTAGGAAGCATCTTATTTACTTGTACATGAACCAAACATTTATAACATAAAAGTAATATAACATAGCATATTCAATCCATATCATAATGCATAATATAATTCACGCAATGCTTTCCTTTAATGTTCATGAATAATGCACATCAATGTCATGCATGTATAAATAAATTTTTCTTTGAAAACCTTTTACTGTTTACCGATCGGACTAAGCTGAGGCATGGATTATGGAACCTTTGGCCAATGAGCTAAGCTTAACTTATAACACAGTCCCCATGGTCATGCACGCTATGGACTGTTCATTTCTTTCGGTCTAGACATGTGCATGAGTGAGCTCAGGTTCCCCATAACATGCCAACATTTTCCATAACATTTACAAATCATTTTCCTTCACAAAAATGCATGTCTATGTACCTTGGAAGTATTTTGCTCAAACTTGGGATCAAGTCCCACTTTTTCATCATTAATATGCTTGACATGCTTTATTCTAAAAAAAACATACACTTTCCATATATGAACATATCATTTCATCATGGCCATTTATTACATTAACTATATATGCTCATACAATCACTAAATAATCATAAAGATCACTCATTCAAACATACTTCAAAACCCTTTAAGCATCATTTCCATACTTGGAATCAATCATTCTGCACAGGTCAGATTCAAAAAGGCATAACTTGAGTTACACACATCGGATTGATATGATCCTGGTCTCGTTTTAAAGCTTAGAGACAGGGCTACAACTTTTATGTTTAGGTCTCAACCCAGTTCAATCGTTAAGATGCCCAAAAATCACTTAGAAGGTCACGGCTGTGACAGGGCAACCAGGGTAACATGCCTATTTTAGGGCTTTTCCTTACCTATCTACTTCCACTTACTTCCTAACCTTTCCTAACCATTCTCCCCTGTGAAAACATGTTAAATGATCAATAATAACCTCCCTTGTAATATGTAAAAAAAATCATGTCACAACTAATTCCATTGATTGTCATCAAAGTTCATTGTTTTTACAATTCACATATAAATCCATCAATTATAGCATCAAACTAAGCTCAATTGCTATTGTGTGACAAGAATTAAGGTTCCCTAATACTAACCCTAGAAACCTAATTCTTATTTCCTATTAAAGTAAAGGGAGGTGTCCCTTACCTTATGTCAAGAAACCACACTCCTTTGCAAATTTCCTCCTCCTTATCTCCAATTGACCCTTATCCTAACATAAATTATAAGGAAACTTCAATAACTTGCAATACACAATATTTATATAAGATAAGGAGTTGAACTTTACCTCCTAATATCCTTAATAAAGGGAGAAATATAAGACACTTGAGAGATTTGCAACTAAAAGAATTGAAACTTTAATGGAGAAGTGAAGAAAATATGGAAGCTTGTAGAAAACTTGAAGAAAAGAAATGAAAAGTGGTAGAAGACATGTTGGCCGACTCTTATCACCTAATATCTTTTTTTTTTTTTTCTTTTTTTTTCTTTTTTTGCTAAAAATTATTCATTTGACATTTGTCTTTTGCATTTAATGTCCTATAACATAATTTCCCTTTTTGCCCTCAAAAATTGTCTATTAATTACTCCTTAATCCTTCATCATCTTTATCTTGTCAAGCCAACAAAATATCATTATTCTTTTACCACTTTACCCCTAAGGCATGTGCATGGTAGTTAACTTAACACATAAAAAGGAAAAGACTATTTTACCCTTGGATGCATCGGTGGGGTTTACAAAGAATCTGGCAAAGACTGTAATATTAGGTTTATTGCTAAACCTTCATTAAGTCTGCATCCCAAAATCTCAAGCCTGTTCATATACTCGGTCAACTTGAGTATATGATTGCCAATTTGGTACCCTCTTCCATCCCACATCTGAATAATGACTGAGACACCATGTGCTTCTCATTTCTTGAAGAAAATGAAGAATAGAAGCCAAGTTCATTCTCCGGCACTACTGTCGCCGCAATGGTGTCATTGATGCAAGCATAATGTATGTAGTCATTTCTGCTTTCGCATCATGTATATGCTTCACATATACATACCCAGTCTCATGGATAGAACTATCAGTAGGCTTTGGAGACAAAGCCTGCTCAATAGTGTATAATCTATCGTTTAATTGAAGTATATTATTTATACTTCTATACCAGTTAACGAAATTCTCACCATTCCATTTCTCTCCTAGTTCGATGATTTGTCACAGTGATGTTGGGATCATTTTGCTCAATTAAGTGAAACTACAAGTGCAGAATAAAGAAAAATTATTATCATGTTAATTTTTATTTAATAAGGCCTTTTATTAAATAATCGCTCCCATTATTTTCCTCAAGCCAATAGCCCTCACTATTAACTCGGGAAAGCCAGTTGGCTTTCCTAATGGACTAAGATCCCATCTAGCCCATCTCAAACCTTCGCTTTGGCGAACAAGCCAAAATGGGTTGATTAGGTAGGCCAACAAACTTAATCTACACCAGTTGATAGCTCCAACTACCAACCTCAAATGTGAAGCAAGCCAACAAGCCAATCACACAATCCAACGGCTTAGCTGTCGCCCTCAAGTATGATTCCCAGTATCAGTAGAGTGGACACTACATGTCGTCATGTACATAGAACATGTGTACTACTTTACTATGCCTATGATGTGTTTATCAACCTTCGCTTTGGCGAACAAGCAAAACTGTCATTTTAAGTCGACCCATCACCATTAAGGAAAACTCCAATAAATTTTAACCTCCCACTGGTAGAAGTGTACCCTTCGCTTTGGCGAACAAGCAAAACTGTCATTTTAAGTCGACCCATCACCATTAAGGAAAACTCCAATAAATTTTAACCTCCCACTGGTAGAAGTGTATCTTTCGCTTTGGCGAACAAGGTTCCGAAAAATAGTGGTTTGATTAAAACCATGGTGATGGAAGGCATACGTCACTTAATATACTTAAGTTGAGGGTTTTTATTTAATGTCTCACCAAATTATTATCTTTGTTAGAATGTCATTGTTTGACATGTTATTGAACATTCAACCTTAGCATGCCTTCTAAACAAAATAAAACGTGCCGGTACATGGCCCACTAAAACCGATTTCCTTGAGCCTAGAGGAATCGGTAGGTCAACCTAGGGGTTTAAAAGTAAATCTTGGGTCTTCAAGCTATTCCTCTTCATAGCTCCTTCATTTCTTTTTCACGATCATTACAAAATATTTAATAATAAAAACCCTATTCTAATTTACATCGATAAAATAGAAATCTCGCATTACATACGAGGGGAGCAAGATGAGAAGAAGAAATACATGGAGATATAAGAGAGAGAGAGAGGCAAGACCGTAGGTCCTATTTCTTTATAAAATTACAAGTAAACCCAAAATTACAAAAACATACCAAAGGTATAAGGCTCATGTACCAGGCACCATGCAATCTCAAACAAGAACATTGCATACATCCAAAATTAACATTTTGAATTTGCGTGGGTGGAATTATTAAATTACCCTTCTTATATGTGCAGAATTATTATTGGCTTTATAGGTTCAAAAACTGCAATTTGGCCCCCTATGCGAAAAACAGAAAAGCAAACGGAATAGTAGCTTTCTTGCCGCGGCGAAGTTCATACTTTTTAACACATGGTTGCTTCAGCAAAGTTTTATTTTGTCGCGGCTAGATCTACTTTTCCGGCAGGTTGCTGCGGTGAAGGTTTATTTCGCCGTAGCCAAATTCACTTTCTACCTCTTACCACGATGAAGTGTTATTTTGCCATGGCTAACGTCGCAAAACAGTGAATCACACAGTAACCCTTTTGCAGTTTTTCATGTAATGATATGGATCCAAATCAAATCAAATCGAATGCACAAGCATTCGACCAGGATATCAACTAACCAATAAGTCACTCATCAACATATCATTAGTCAACTGATCAATTAAACAAAATTTAACAGATTTAAAAACAATCAATTTATGCATCAACATGTTTTCAATCAAATATACATGCTATCAATCAACGATTAAACATTATAATCTGGTACCCGAGGCTCTGATACCACTGTTAGTAATTGACCGGATTCGCACAGCGAAAAAACGTAATTTTTAAAACGAATCGATCAATTACACGAACCAAGATCCGAGTACAGATTATAACGTTTTCATGCATAAACTTAAATGTAAAATAAAACTATATAAAAACAAATCCATACAAGGATTTAGTGCATACCGACATTTGGAGGCTCCTTCGAATATCTCTGACTTTAGACACGAATACTGTTCACTGGTTACTGTTACTCGGTTACTGTATACTGTCTACTATTTACGTGATTCTTCGCTAATCAATCCAATGTAGGATCACACTCACGAAAGTCCACACGAAGATAATCCACAGAATCGACAATTGTTTTGCTAGAACAATTACCGGCATCAAGAACCAAGAACAATCAAAATTGAAAAATTTTCTTCTTCACTTGAAGAAGAAAACGTGAGAGAGAGAGAGAACCTTTTGGGTGGCTAGGGTTTTAATTGAATGAATGTAATAACTGCTTCATACTAGGATACGTATAGAAATACATCAAGTAAATATATTTATATTAGCAAAAGTAAATGGGCCCAAAATTTTCTTTTAATACATTTAATCTTTCTTTATACAAAGTAAGGCATCATAAGTAAAAGTTATCAAAAACAGTGGACAGTGTAGCTATTACTCCTCGCTTGCCGATGCCCATCCGACCGCGTCCTCACCTAGATCCTGCAAACACAAAGAAAAACAACGGGGTGAGCACAAAATAATGCTCAGTAAGTAAATCCTCTACTCGTCTATCCCCGTAACTCTTTCTCTTAATTCTTTCCTTACACTCTTCTCATCTCATTTATTTTCTCTTTCTGTTTCTCTTTCACATAGCTCTTTTCTATTAACTTTCTGTTGTATGTCACGGCCTCATCTTACCGGAGGCACGGCTGAGTGGAGATCACAAAGCACCCACCCACTCTTCGTGACTTCTACTCATTCTCTTCCTCTATTCTTTCTCATATTTTCTCATTCTTTCTCACTTGAATGTCACGGCCTCATCTTACCGGAGGCACGGCCGGGTGGAGTTCACAAAGCACCAACCCACTCTTCGTGACTTCCGGTTGGAGTTCACAAAGCACCAACCCACTTTTCGTAACTTCCGGTTGGAGTTCACAAAGCACCAACCATTCTTAGATTTTCTCATTCTCTTTACTTTTAGAGTAGCCCATTCACAAAGTTCTTTACTCTTTCTCAAACTACTTCTCAATGCACAATTAATGCATAAGGATGGTTCATGCTTAAAGTTTCTTACTTAATGCACTTTTGAAATGCACAAATGCAATATTGCATCAAAACTGCCATTCTGCGCAGGTCACACTCAAGAAGGCATAACTTGAGTTATACATCTCGGATTGCTACGGTTTTGGTCTCGTTTTAAAGCTTAGAGACAGGGCTACAACTTTTATGTTTTGGTCTCAGCCCAGTTCAAACCGTAAGTCACCCAAATATTACCTAGAAAGTCACGGCAGTGACAGGGCAGATTTCACTTAGGCATTTCATCAAACAACTCATATGCATAAACAAACCCTAATTCAATTATCATTCCATTTAGTTCTCAAACCATCCAAAATGAGAGAAAAACTCTCTTATAGCATCACATACCTACATGGCAAACACACTCCACAAAAATTTCTCCAATTCTTCCAATTTCAACCCATCATCAAATCATCACATATACTTCTCATATTCAAATATATCCAACAATAAGCATAATACATCATACATCTCATCTCAATTTCTCAATAATCACAACATATGCATATTTAAAATAAATCTCTACTCACTTGAATTCTTAAATTTTAGCTTGAGTTGGATTTTGAGTGGAATTTACTTACCTTGTGCTTGAGTAGTCTCTCCTAAACTCTCTACTCTTGTTGGATTCCAATCTTCTCTTAACCCTAAGCATAAACTTTATAAGAACTCAATCTTTACACAAATAAATCATAGATAAAGAGTATGAATCCTTACCTTTTGATACCTAGAATCAAAGCCCTATGAAAAACCACTTAAAAGCCCTCAAAAACCTTGGAGGATTGAATGAAAATTTGAGAGAAAATGGGGGAGGAGTGTGGCGGTGGAATGAAGAAAATAAGGGTTTCAAACCCTTAACACTTTAGTTTATAACCACACTTTCCCATTATGCCCTTATTCTTTCTTTGAAATTCCATCTATGTCCCTTAGTCAATGACCATAATGCCCTCATTTTTAATGCATTCTCTATGAAATTCTATCTCTTTTCACTCCCCACAAATTCAACTAATTTTGAGTGAAAAGACCATTTTACCCCTAATGAAAGTTTAAGGGAT